CGCCCGCTTTCAGGCCCTAGAGCCATCACAGATCGAGGCGCCTCGAAACGTGCTGCAGAGAGCCTGCTTTCTTCAGGCTCCGGCAAGTTGAACTGCATGGACGAAGGCGGGGGGCCTGAACGTGAGGCGAGCCGCAAACGACTGAACGTGCGGGAACCACGCAAGTCCGTAGGCACTTGCACGCTAGTATTCGTCTGAAGAGGGGCGAGGGGGGTGGGGGGGAAGGGGGGCGGGGCCGCGAACGCCTTGCAAGTAAACTTGCTTGAATCAAAAAAACAAGCAAACTCATAGGGTCTGGGGCTCCGGCCGTGACCTTGCGCGAGCCTGTGTTGACGATGCTTCTTCCGCGGCGTCGGATCTCGGGGGTAGGGGGCGGAGGAGCACGAGGGCAAGGACGACGAGGCGCAGGTGGGAGAAGGTCATAGAGGAGGAGGAGGAGGAGGAGGAGGAGGAGGAGGAGGAGGAGCAGGATTGGCCGCACCGCGCACAAGGGGAGGGGGGAAGGATTCTCAGAAGGAGGCTGCTTCTTAGGAGGCGTCGGCCTTGCATCCAAAGATGAGACCCGCGCCTTGTCAGAAGCAGGGTGCTTCTGAGGAGCCTTCCCCCCTCCCGCTAATTACCCTCCTCGGCGCCCCAGACCCCCGACGTCACGATTTTTTTATCAGACCCCGGAAATCTCGACCCACTCACCGGGACCAACTTTTTCGTCCTGAATCGTTTTCTGACGGTCCCGTGGCCCGGAAAGGGCACCCAAACGCCGCACATGGCGGAACACCTCCCGTCGCGATTTTTTCATGACTCGAGGGGGGTCTGGGGTCGGGATCTTCTGACCCGGGTCAATCGTCAGTCAGGCCTGGCAGGACAGGATCCTGCAGGACCCTGCACCCAAACAGTGGTCAATGCGACCCTGGCCCTGCAGGATCCTGCAAGATCCGGCGCTCTGACTGACCCCCGTTTGCACTGACCCCCGTCTCAGCCCCGATGGGGAGGGGTCCGTTCTCCAGGCTGCACCGCCACGCTCCCGTGCCGGACGCGGCGGACGGGGGGAGCCTCCTGCCGCGCGAATTCCGCGGGCCAGGCCTCGAGAAGAGACGCCGTGTGAACGTGTTGCGTCTGTTTGCGACAGTGCGTCCTATGGGGGAGACTCCACCTGCTTGAACCAGGCGCCCCAAAACAGCCGAGATCCACTCCATGGGGGGGGAGGGGGGTGTGCGAGGGCCCGCGCCGATGTGGGAAGGGGGGCATAGCCCTGGAGACCACACCATACCCTAGAGGTCCACCACTCCGAAAAAATTGGAGCGGGCGGTTTTGGGCCGTTTTCGGCCTCTGGGGGCCCTGGACGGGCCTCGGGAGCGTGGAAAAACGACTCAGGACGAAAAACTGGCCCTAGGGAAATGGTCCGGACCTTCGGGGCCCAAGCATCCGAAAAATGGGAGCAGCCCGACGTCTGGGCTCTGCAGACCACCACACTGCAGGGTTCTGTGTTGGAATCGTTTGCTTGCTTAGCGTTCCGCCGCGGCGGTCCCGGCGGCATGCTATGCCCTGCGAGCGGATAGCGTGTCGCTCCGCTCCGCGGGGCGGGAGGCTGCGGAATGCTCGGGACGTTGACGCTTGGGAGTCGGGAGTGGGTAACGTGTCGAGCCGCAGGGTGGTGAGCTAGAACCGACGGAGCGACACGCTATCCAAGAGTTCCCGACCGTAAGACCCCCTCAAACCCTACCTCGAAGGGCGTTCATCACACTCTAAAGGGGGGCCGAGGCGCCCTCTGGGGTCCGAAGTACTTTGCCGGAGGGCTCTGAGAACCACTGTCTGAGAGCCCTTTGGGCCGCCCTGTGCCCTGACCGTGGCGATCCAGAACCCAGCGGGAGACATCACGTGCACCGCCAAGAGATATCCGTACTCTCACTTTCTGATATTTCGTTAGTTTGTTCCGTGGAGCAATTGTTCACGGCGCCACCGCATAAGTAGGCAATGCGAAACATAGGTTTTCGCTGGCGAGCGATTCTTATGCCACCCCTTTTGCCACACCTCGATATCGTACCGAGGGGCACTTTGTGGTTCCCCCAAGGCACCGACGCCAAAATAAAGATCACAAGTTCGGACATGTCGCATCCGTGGTAAATGTTGAAGCCACGCCGTCGCCATCATGTGAAGAATATATGTATGGATCGAAGACTGCAGTGGAGCTTCGCGCCATGCACCTTAGTCCTTGAAATTGGGTATGCAAGCGGAATGGCAGGAAGGTGGAACCGACAATTTAGCGATAAGTTCTTGTTGTCTTTTCCAGCATCCCCGTTACAATAATGGTACTCGTGATACTTCCTCCATGTTTCTTGTTCCTCATTCTCGCCCTACCATGCGTATTCTCCCAATCCTCCTCAGCTCTTTTTGTGCAGGCTCCTCCTTGGAGTGCCTCTGGGGGCCTCGCGGAAGTTTTCAGGCTTTCTTGAAGTTTTCTGGAGACCTCCTGGGCGTCTTCTGGGGGCATCTGGGGGCTTCCTCGGGCCACCCTGCCTCCAACCGCGGTTTTCCTGAACGACCGGGTTACGTTTTGGAGTACTTTGGAGGGTGTCTTGGGACCATCTTGGGCCGTCATGGGGCTTTCTTAGGCCATCTTGGAACCCTGTTGTGCCGTCTTGGGGCTGGGGCTGGGGCTCTCTTGGACTGCCTGGAAGACCTTTCGGATGATTGCGGGGCGATTTTCGAGCCTCCCAAGCGGCTTTGGACGCCCTGAAGACAGCCGTCTTGGAGCGTCGGGAAGCCGAAAAGAGGAGAACCCCACAATTCACCAAAAACCAGAAAGACAGTCAATGCATTTTGCCTCTTGGGGCCTTCTTGGGAGTGCTATTGGAAGCCTCCTGGAACGTTTTGGAACGATTTTTGGGGGTATGACGGCTTCTTTGGGGTCGTCGTGGGCCGTCTTGGGGTTCTCTGGGGTCGTTTCGGGAGCGCGCCGGAACGCCTGGAGACCTCTGGGGCCGTTTTCGGGCTCTCTCTCGCGGGGTTCTCCCGGGTCGTCTGGAGGGTTGCCCGAGAGGCCTGGGGCGGGCCAAATGTGTCAGGTGTGGGGGACGTGTGCGCTGTTTCCGGGGCCCCGGGCCCTGTGAAAAGATATGATTAGGAAAATGTCTTGTATAGATATATGTGTTTTGTAGATGTATGTGTATAGAATGTACAAGATAAAAAAAAAACAGCGCTTGCGGCAGTGACTACCACGAGAAGATCCATTTGGGGCTAACTATATTCTGCAGTCGATCCCCGACTCGAAATCCCCGCAGCTTCAAGGGGGCCCGCCCCAGACCCCGCGGAGCGGTGGGCGTGGCTGCTGCCCGCCCGAAGGGGCAGGCAGACGGCCAGTACTTCCACCGCCCCCCCGATGATGGGCCTGTTTTCCACCACCACCACCACCACCACCACCACCACCACCACCACCACCACCACCACCACCACCACCACCATTCATTGGAGGGGGGAAGGGGGAGGATGACGAGAAGGAGGAGGAGGAGGGCGAAGAGAAGAAGGAGGAGGAGGAGGTGGAGCAGGAGGAGGACCACCTCCCCCTGCAACTTATGGTGGTGGTGGTGGTGGTGGTGGTGGAAAACAGGCCCATCACCCGAGGTCCTGCAGCACGAGCCCGACGCTGTGAAGTAAGTCTTTTTTGATTATCCTGGGCTTCAACATCTGGCCGAAGCGTGAGGGAGTGGCCCAGACCCCCTCGGGCAATGAAACAATCATGACGGGAGTTTTTTTGCTATTTTCGGCCTCGGGGGGCCCTTACCGGCCCTCGGGACCGTCAAAAAACTACTCGGGATGAGAAACCAGTCCAGGAGAATGGGTCGAGACTTCCAGGGGTCGACGCAATGAAACAATCATGACGTCGGGGGTTCTGGGGGGGCGGGTCTGGATCTGGGCCGGTGCTTCATCGACCTGCCTGCACCAACCGCGCGAGCAGACTGTGGTCGGGGGGGGGGGCCCGCCCAGTCGCCAGGAACGGGCCGCCCGAAGCAGCCCAGCTCTGGTCCAAGGGGGGCGGGGGCGGGGTGGGGGGCGCGGGTCCGCGCCGATCGGCGAAACAGTGAATAGAAACCGGCGATCAGACCGCCACCCTCGCCCGAGGGGTCTGCGGTCGGGAGCTTCTGTCTAAACCGTGAGGCCGCGGCGGCTAGGGCGACACGCGAGGCCTTGCGACCGGACAGCGTGCAAGGGCACGCTCGGCACGTGGACGCTGGGGGTCGGGAAGAGGACAGCGTGCCGCGCCGAAGCGTGGTGGGCCCAGAACCAGCGGAGCGACGCGCTAGCCCAGATCCCCCAAACTGTGCTCCCCCATGCGCCCGCCCCCGCCCCCAAAGCATCCGATGGTGAAACAAAAGCACGGGGTCTCGGAAAGTCCCCGGCCCGTTCCCTGGGACGGAGCTTCAGGACCGAGTCGTGTTCTTCGACGGTCCCGGGGCCCAGCGAGGGCCCCTGGAGCCAGGAGAAACAACCTCCAGAATCAAGCATGACGTTCTGGAGGTCCGAACGAACTTCTTGAAAAGGCGCTGGGCCCGACCTCCTGGCGCGTGAGGCGCAGGTGCGGCACATGAGGCGCCGCCAGGGGGCCAGCGCCGATCCAAGAAATCCGCGCGGAGCTCAAACATCAATTCGCAGAAGTACGAATTGTTTCTCCTTCGATGACACACTCAAATTTGGCGGTGGATCATGGCACAAACTTCTGACCCCGAAGGCTCCAGAACCCTCGTTCCTCCAACTCCGACGCCGTGATGTTTCACAACTCGGGGGCCCCTGGAGATGTGGACTCCTTCCCCAAGACCAGGCTCTCATCCCGAATCGATTCTTGACGGTCCCGGGGCACCGCAAGGGACCCCGGAGACAGAGGATTGCTCAAGTCCGCCCGCTGTGATGTTTCCACGGCGAATAGGGCCTAAACACCGCCTCGAGATTACTCTTTTCATTCGTTCCGTTACCCGGGGGCGGAGGGAGGGGGCGGTAACGGTCACGCTTTGGCCAGGTGGGGTACGTCGGGGCGGGTCTATCGCCATGGTACGCGCGCAAATCATGTGGGTTGGGGGAGGTCCAGGTCCCTCCGCACGTACAATCGTTACTGGTATCCGGGGGATTTGGTCCGGGCAACAGCCGTCACGCGCCAGAGGAGCGAGAAACAAGCAATCTCCTCTCGGGGCCTGGCTAAACCTCGGGAGGGCGCTACGCTGGGTCGGAGAAGCGCTCAGTCTTCCGAGCCATACGCCCGTTCGGTAGCCGCCACGTGCCGGCTGTAGAGCCGCTCGGCCTCCGCGTCCTTCCCGCGCAGCTCCATCAGCTGGGCGAGGTTCTGAAGGGCCGTGAGCGTGCCTGGGCTGAGCCACCCATGAGACCCTGTGGTTGCATTTGTTTTCGCACCTGGCTAGTTTGCCTCGATTCGGGCCCCGGGACCATCACAGACCGATCCGACTCGAGCCATGCTGCAGAAAGATGGGGTCTGGTCTCGGGTCGTGATTTCTCGCGATGCTAAGTTTGTTACGCATCGTCGGATCTCAGATGGGCGAGGTTCTGCATGGCCATGAGCGTGCTTGGTTTGAACCACTGCATGAGGGCAACATGTATGTACATATCCACTGCGTCTCGGATGTTCGGGCTCCCACCCCTAGAAACCCGAGACGACGCAGTGGGTGTGCACAAGCACCTGGCCTCTGGCCAGGCCAGGTGCGTATCCATACCCACTGCGTGGTTCTCGGGTCCTTGGCACCCCTTCTCCCAAACACCACGATGCCGTGGATGTGGATATCAGAGTGAGGTTGCCGAACGGTCATTCGTTGTCCCTGGGTGCGTCGCTTAAGTGGGTTTCTGCGGTTGAGACTGTTGTTGGTTGCGTTATTGCTTATTGCTTGTTGTTTTTGTGATTGTTGCTGCTGCTGCAGCTGTTGCTGTTGTTGGAAATTCTGATTTCGAAACAGCCCTCATTTCGAAAGAATATGTATCGTTGATCCCCCTGGTGACCGTTGCATTTTTCAAATGAAGTACTCCTCCCGGGCCTCGCACCCGGTTTTTCAAGGAAACTGTATGGTCACCAAACTGGGCCCCTGGCCCCAGACTTACAACAACGGCAAGAACAACGGCTCCCGACTGATACTTCCACACAATGTATTTCAAATTCGGGCTCTCGCGCGGGACTTCTCATCATTTGTTCAGGCATCGCGCTCTCGCGTGGTCTTCCTCACAATATATTGCCGCTCCGTGCCCCCAGCACTCAAGAATCATGCTCTCGCGTTGGTCTTTCTCACGATTTACTTGAGAAGCGCAATGAAGCTCGAACCTTCTTTCATGATGGGTGGACGCTTTAGCGACCCGCGCGCTCGATCCGGCCGTCTGGGCCCGCCCGCCCGACCTGCTCGCCAGGGTCCTCCCGCCCAACAAGCCAGGCTGGTTCTGCCGCTTGTGCTGCTGCTCCTGACCCTCCTCATGCAAGTTTTCTCGTGCTCCATCCTTCTCCCTCCCTTTTGTCTCTTCCCTCCTCCCCACCTTGCCCCTGTCTTAGGGGCTGCGCCAACTACGCGCGGCAGGTAGGGAACATATAACTCCCAAGGGGGGCAAGATCGAAGACGAAGAGGACGGGCACCGAGGGCTAGGATTTACGTGCTGAGTACGAACATACTTGTAATGATTGAATGCTCATTTCTAAAGAATAATTATTGCTGGTCTCTGGAAACGGTTCCGCGCGCTCTCGCCTTGACGCCGGCTGCAATTCCTTTGAAAACAAAACTCCCAGTCGAGCGTGGGTTTGAATGTAAATGTGTGCCCTTGGAGGCCCGGCTACAACGACAACGGCTCCCGCTCGATACCTCCTCTCAAACTACCCCGAGACGCCCTGGCCAGAAAGGCGCCCGAACTCAGGAATGGCGCTCCCGCTCGACTTCCTCGCGGTCCAATCGACAAAGGCTCCTGCTCGATATTTCCTCACGGTTTACTCCGAGAGCCGCTGGCCAGGAAGGCGCCCGAACTCAGGAACGGAGCTCCCGCTCGAGACTAATAGAATTGGTGGACGCCCAACTACTGCGAATCTCGTTCGATAATCCCTCAAGGTGTATTTCCAGAAGCCCTGGCCAGAGAGGCCCCCGAACCCAAGATTGGCGCTCTCGCTCAAAATTCTCTCGTAATTCAAGCAAGTTGGTGGAGGCCCAGACACGGCGACAAGGGCTCCCGCTCGATATTTTTCAATATGGATTCCGAAATCCCCTGGCAAGACAGGCACCTGAACTCAGAAACGGTGCTCTCGCTCGAGAGCACCTCGCACTTCAGTCAGTGAGCGACCAGGAAGATCTTCCCCCTGAAAGGGGGCGCGATCGAAGAACAAGTGGGCGGGTATCGAGGGTTGGGCCATACAGACTGCAAGACACGCGCGCCAGTAAAAGCGAACAGTTTTGAAATGATTGGTGTTGCTGTTGCGGGTGGCGCTGCTGCTGTTTTTATTGTTTTGAACTCTCATTCGTGATGTATAATTACTGTTGGTCCCCATGCTGATGCACGTTGTGTTTTTCCCCATATCCTAAGGATTGGGGTTCTTGTTATTACTCTGACGCCTCCCACGCGCGGACTCCTTCCTCCCGCTCGCGCCTCCCTCCTCCCAATGATAATCACCAGATAAGACAAGACAAGATAATATACTACAATATAAGATAAGATAGCACAAGATATGATAAGGTAAGATAAGATTTATGACAAGGTATGATAATATATAAGACAAGACAGCCTATGTATTAATAAGATAAGACAAGATATGATGCGATAAGATGAGTTGATATAAGATAAGCTAAGACAAGATAAGAGATTTCAAGATAAGATAATATAGAGGGTAATAAAGGTAAGGTAAGATAGGACTCGATAAGATAAGATGAGACTCACTCTCACTCAGACTCACTCACAGTCACATTCACTCACACTCACACTCTCTCATGATCACAAAACGCTTCCAGGGGCATCATTTGGGAGCCCCAAGGGGGAGCCACCCTGGCTGATCTCACGAGCCCGTTCGCGCCGATTTTGGTGGGACGCCTCAGCTAGAATTGCCGTTTGGCCTCCCCAACATGTATCTCTTGAGAGCCTCATGGTCACAAAACGCTGCCAGGGGCATCATTTGGGAGCCCCAAGGGGGAGCCACCCTGGCTGATCTCACGAGCCCGTTCGCGCCGATTTTGGTGGGACGCCTCAGCTAGAATTGCCGTTTGGCCTCCCCAACATGTATCTCTTGAGAGCCTCATGGTCACAAAACGCTGCCAGGGGCATCATTTGGGAGCCCCAAGGGGGAGCCACCCTGGCTGATCTCACGAGCCCGTTCGCGCCGATTTTGGTGGGACGTCTCAGCTAGAATTGCCGTTTGGCCTCCCCAACATGTATCTCTTGAGAGCCTCATGGTCACAAAACGCTGCCAGGGGCATCATTTGGGAGCCCCAAGGGGGAGCCACCCTGGCTGATCTCACGAGCCCGTTCGCGCCGATTTTGGTGGGACGTCTCAGCTAGAATTGCCGTTTGGCGTCCCCAACATGTATCTCTTGAGAGCCTCATGGTCACAAAACGCTGCCAGGGGCATCATTTGGGAGCCCCAAGGGGGAGCCACCCTGGCTGATCTCACGAGCCCGTTCGCGCCGATTTTGGTGGGACGTCTCAGCTAGAATTGCCGTTTGGCGCCCCCAACATGTATCTCTTGAGAGCCTCATGGTCACAAAACGCTGCCAGGGGCATCATTTGGGAGCCCCAAGGGGGAGCCACCCTGGCTGATCTCACGAGCCCGTTCGCGCCGATTTTGGTGGGACGTCTCAGCTAGAATTGCCGTTTGGCGTCCCCAACATGTATCTCTTGAGAGCCTCATGGTCACAAAACGCTGCCAGGGGCATCATTTGGGAGCCCCAGGGGGGGTCCACCAGGGGCTTCATAGTCACCAAACGCTGCCAGGGGCAGCATTTTGGCTTCCCAAAGAGGAGTCGACCCGGGCCTCCTAGTCGCCAGACACTGCCAGGGGCACCATTGGGATTCAGACTCGCACCCAGACTCACTCATACACAAGCTCACTCACACTCAGATTCATTTCTTCAGAGTCAGGCACACACAGACGTACCCATACTCAGACTCACCCACACTCAGGCTCACCTAACCCAGACTCCGTCAGAAGCCAGTAGCGAAGAGAGCAGAGAGGAGAGAGAGAGAGAGAGAGAGAGAGAGAGAGAGAGAGAGAGAGAGAGAGAGAGAGAGAGAGAGAGAGAGAGAGAGAGCGAGAGAGAGAGAGAGAGAGAGAGAGAGAGAGAGAGAGAGACCGGACAAGTAGGCGGACCAGGGTCCGTCCGCGAGGCGCACTGCGGTGCGACAACCCGCCAAACACTATTTGCGGCGGTGCAGCCTTGAGATACGAGGGCGGGCAACAAACCCCCTCCCCCGGCGCAATGCGACTGACGCTACAGACGGCGGACAGACAGTGAAGATCTCACGTGTCAGACCGCGTGACGAAGAAGGCCCCAACAAGAAAGGCGACGTGCTGACACGTGGCTAGGCGGCTTGGCAGACCGCCAGTTGGGCGCTTGGCCGCAACGCGGCGCGCAGGGACGGGGCACCCCCCGCCCCCACGCCCTGACACCGTGGACGCGGGGCCACGCGTGCACACGGGCAGGCAGAATGGCGGAGATTAGCGCGGGGCTCCAGGCGGAGCGCCGCGGAGCGATGACAGCATAGCATGGAGGGTGAGTGGCGGCGCAGCACCATCGGGCGAGGGTGTAAGCAGCTCGGCGAAGGCACGCCCGGCGCGGTGGAGGCGCTGGAGCAGAGGGCCTTGACGGGCTTGAGCAGCGGCAAGGTCGGCGGCGAGAGCAGCACACCTCTGCTGAAGAGCGGCCATAGACTGGGACAGCTCGGCTTCGCGGTCGGTGAGGGGCGGCTGCTCTGTGCCTGCGGCCGCGGGCCTCGTGGCGGGGACGAGGTCATCGGTGCGCCTGGCCAGGTGGTGGACCAGCGCGGTGCGGCGATCCGCGTGCTGGCGGCCGTCGCCCTTGCGAGGCGACTGGAGGGTAACGCGCGGTCCCAGGGCTGAAGCCGCTAGGGCCACGCCCCGTGAGGACGGAGGAGCCGCAGCCTCGCACCCAGCAACAGTAAAAGCGTGGACGGGGTGCGACGGCCTGACTGGCTCAGTGCCCTGCGGGGGGGCTGGAGCCGCCCCCGCGGGCTGGCGCTGGTGGGGGGACGGGGTGGGTGGCACGGGGGGACCAATCATGATGCCGTGCGAGGGCTCGGAGGTCGGCCGCGTGGTCGGGTGGCGTCTCGATGAAGCGGCATCGTCGGCAGCGTGGGGTGTCGGCGGGGCGTCGTCTATG